TGGCAGCACAATGTCACATAAAGAATCAGCATCAGAGTCGGTGTCCGTTGAGCAATCTGATGTATTTAAATGGTCGGAATGCGGTTCAACGTTTGGAGCTTTCAAAAGTTCAATAACTTCTTTAGGTATTTTTTTCTTTTGATTTTGTTGTTGTCTCTTATTTAAAGATATGCTTGAAAGGAATGGATCAGAGGAACCCATTGCTCTTTGGAAGACGTCGGCCATATTATTAGTTCTACTATTTTGTCTAGCATGAGATCGCCTGTCGCTCTTATAATATTTATTGCGGGATTCTGAAGCACTTTCACCAAGACAGCCTAGGGGCACTACAGAGGCTGCGATGATTTGTGCACCGTGTATTAAAATTTTATGTAGAGTCGGTGACATCGGATACCACGGGTACTTTTCCATATACAACGAATATGTCTTTTCCGAGTACTGCTTAGACTTTAGGGCACTAATCTCGTATTCACAAGAAATGGCGATCAAAATCATGTGAAAACTGTGCAGTAAGTCGGTGTCAAGCCCTAATATTGAAGAAAATAGCGTAACATCTGAGAAAGCTCTTCTGGCAGTATTGCCATCATTCATGTTTCCGCTACCGCTCTGCTTTGGTCTATTCACATGAAGTCCCATTTCCGTCCATAACCGTTTTTGAATAAGTTTTTTACGGGCCTCAATAATTTTCTTATCATTTTCTTATCTCTTATTTGCCATTTTTTACTTCAATCCTATATGACACATTAAGAACAAACTCCAAGGTTCTTATCCAAGCATGAACGGGACTAATGCCATACTTCAGTTTATCAGGCCTTGCCTTTAAATGTGCAGAGTTTACGTCTTTTGTTTGCATGAAAGCTTTAGGTCCTGCTCCACAGATGGGACATAATTGACAAGATTTAATACCTGACAAGATATTTAACACTTTTCTATCTATATGGAGATCAAAGAACACCGTGATATTTCGGTTGCCGAAGTCTGTATAAATAAATGGCTTTAAATTTCCTATTTGTAGATCCAAGTCTTCTTTTTCCATTAAAATGTGCTCCCTTGTTTCCTTTATAAATTGTATTTTTAGTGGTCTGCAAAACCGCACAGACTGTGGAGTGGAATTATTCCAAATCACTCTTCCTGAAATTTCACTCAGTTTTAAAGGTATAATTGTGGTAACGAACAAAGATTGATCAAGAGCATACGGATCATTTTCAAATTTTTGTTTATAAGTGCTTTGGCCAGTCGACCCGTCAAATCCATAGCTCACAATAAGCCTAAGTTCAGCGATTTCAGGAAAACTAATGAAGACTTGTTCTTGTACTAAAATTAGGCATTTGGCGGTGTGGTCCAATAAATTCTGCAATGAAACTTGAGCGACAGTTTCATCGATGCTTATTCCAAGGGGTCTGGATTTCAATTTAGCTTCCACAAGTCTGTCATAACTTGGGTATATATTGCAGTGTTGTTGTTTATTTAAAGCTCTCATGTTGTTATATTGTTTTTTAGTATATGAATTATTGAGCAAGAATGCAAGGGCTTCATCTGGAGTTATTGGAATTTGATTCTTTGAACAAAGCTTTTGTTTTAACCTTTTGGGCGCATTCGGTGACCTCACACATTCTTTTAAAACAAAGGCTACGTCTCTATTAGATTTTTTTTGCTGATAACGTAGCGGCATGTACAAGTAGCGAAGTATCGTGCTCATTCGAAAGATCGCTAGC